TGAATCTTTCAGAGCTACATTAACCTCCCAAATTTCAGGAAGGAATTGCTCTGAGAATGAACAGCACTTAAGAACAGAAGTGTTCTTAAACATCTGCTTTAGAGGGAAGCCTAAGCTATCAACTGAATTCAGGTGCACACTATTAGCCTTCAGGAAAATCCCAAATGCTTCTTTTCTAACAGTTGTTACAGAACCAACACACATAAAATGCAACTAAGAAATTGTGCCACAATCCCTTTCCAACCTCATTTCCTCACACCTCCCCATGAGTTCATTAATTAGTAAATCTGACGCAGCAAAACAGTCCTACACGTCACTAAATATCTGGCAGGGTGGGCATGAAAGAGAAGACGGGGACATTGAGGAATGTATCAACTACAGGCAGGAAGAAAACTGAACAAAACAAAAGAAACTCCCTAACTGCAGGCACCAATGAAGTCTGAGTTACAGGAAAGATACTACGGCACTCTGCCTGCAGCCGGGTACTGAACACACAAAGGGTTATTCCCTGTGTTTATGTGCAAAGTAAGTGTGATCATAAAGCATTTCCCTGTATCAAAATCACCACCCTGCTGAATTTCAATACGGGAAACACCCTCTGATTACCTAGGTCTTTCATCAAAATAGCCTTGTAGTATTTTTTCTGCAACGCTGACATGCCATGGTATATCACGACTTCTGTCTTCTTGGGAAGTTCTGTAGCTACCTCGGCTTTCACTCTCCTCAGCAGAAATGGCCTGAGGAGCTTATGCAGTTCACTTGCTGTGTGGAAACACAATAGTGAGTGCCGGGCAAAAATAAGATGAAGCTGCTTCTTTTTTGAGCTACTCAAGAACAAACATTACCATACCACTTCGGAGCCCTAGGTCAGCACAGTCGTTTTCCACAGTATTTCTTTCTTCGTTGAGTTCTTTTGTCTAACGCCTTCTGAATTCATTAGTGCCACTAACTCAAGAACTAGGGATACTTAAAAGGAGTTTGAATCTTAGCAATAATCATATTTGCATGGAGCTCCTATTTCTAGTATAGTCTGCTTATGAACATAAACTGACCAGCCCAATTAAGAAAACAAAAACAAAAAAGCCCCACTGCCTCCAGTCCATTCTGACTCCTAGCAACCCTGTGGGGCAGGGCAGAATCCACCCTGCGGTTTCTGAAACGAACTCTTTACAAGAGTAGAAAATCTCATCTTGCTCCGCCGCGAAGCAGCTGATAGCTTCGAACTGCTTACCTCATGATTATTAGCCCAACACTGCAACACCAGGGCTCTTGATCAACACAATAGGTTAGAAACATACAGCAATTTAATAATATAAGGAAGCTTCAAAAAGTTTTCCATAAGCTTTTTGAATAAGTCTCCCCATTTTTATAGCTGTGTTAACAGAGGCTCAAGAGAAATTAAGCAATTTGTCCACATGTTACACAGTTGTTTCTAGCATTTAAACTTGGTTCTTTAGAACCCAAATCCCATTTCTTTGCTAGGTTTCTTGAACTTTAGACTAAATAATAAATTGGAATTACATGTAGGTATGGGCCAATATAGGTCAACAGTTAACCATTTCAAATACGGAATTATTTGTTGAAACCATGTACATTCAGTAGTAGGTATTTGAATGAAACAGAACATTTTGGGAGGGTATGATGGGTATGGACACTGTTAGTTGGACCTATTTGTCCCATAGGTCACTGGTTCTACAATTGGTGGGATGAAGGCTGTTTTTTATTAATTGAGTTATACAATTCCCTACCAATTGCCTCAATAACTTAAATCAACTCGGTGCCATCAAGTCAATTCCAACTCATAGCAACCCTGTAGGACAGAGTAGAACTGGTCCTATGGGTTTCTGAGACTGTGACTCCTCTCTCTAGTAGAAAGCCTC